TCTCTCTCTGTGTGTGTGTAATTCAGCTATGGACTATCCTGTAGTCTCTGACGCCAAGTCCACTGGTGAGCTTCCCCTCTTTTTCACTTTTGAATATACTGGGTTTCCTGCCCTCTGTCTAAATGTCAATCTCCCTCTACAATTTATCAGAGACTATATACACTCTCTCTGTTAAGCGTGAATGTGGCTTTTGCGTTTGTGTAGTACTAGAAATTTACATATAGGCATGGATTGATCAATTTCTGCGTTTATGGGGTATTTCTAATGATAATGTACGTTGTTTAATCGTCTGAAATAACTTATTTTTCATTTTATGCCACTGATTATTGTTCTTCTATGGGTTTGTATATATCTCACTTTGGAAACTGAATCAATGGGTTACTAATGTACGAGTGGGAGAGACCCTATGTTGTTTTCGATAGAATTCGGATGAGATGATACAATGTCCTTAGCACTTGATCACAGTAAGTTCCTCTTTAGGACTTTAATGTATGACACTATTTCTAGTTATTTTTGTGACCCAGGTCTTTATTTTAAATTGATGTGGGTATAACAATTTGGAATTATGTTTTCTTTTCTTTTTTTTTTTTAAATTTTATAGTTGTTGTAATGCTATTTAGCTTACCTGTGTATGCATGGGTGTGTAAAACTTACATTCATTGACCTATAAAATTAATTTTCCCTAATTTCACTTTGTTCAACAGATGGTACTTCTGGTGAATTTGCAGAGCAAAAGATTTGCTATTTTATTATTTTGGCAAATTTTTCTAGATTTAGTAACTTGGGGCAAACTTAATTTTACCCTTGTGGCTAGGCTCATTTGCAGATCACCTTCCTCACCATTCGACTATATCGATATTACCCTCATGTGNGATTTAGTAACTTGGGGCAAACTTAATTTTACCCTTGTGGCTAGGCTCATTTGCAGATCACCTTCCTCACCATTCGACTATATCGATATTACCCTCATGTGATTTGTGGATTATATTGCAACAACAACTCCGTTAATGGTAAGGGGTAAATGATTTAATTCCCATCAATTTGTTTTTAACTGGAAAAACAAATTCATCTTTGTGCAAAGTTGTGGTGCCTCCACCTGTGCACCAGCAAATGAGACTGGAATATATGGAAAGGCATTTAATACAAACGACCACAAAACAATTCTAAATAACGAGATTCGATACCATTTGAGTGCAAAAACAATCAAAAGATCAATAGAGCACCACATACCCATCATTATAGTTTAATGAAAAATAATACCGCAAAACAACTTAGACATTACCACAACATTTAAGCATAGAAACCATCGTAAGAGTTGAAACACATCCGCCGATGCAAATAACTTTGAAAAAAATCTTTTAGTGCCACCACTGGCATGACCATAAGCACAAAGAATTGAAACCCAACCACCTTCACAAAACCTATCAAAAAGCATCAGTGGGACCATTGATACAAGAATTAAAACACAATAACCATCGCTTTTGGGCCCTTGAAGGCGAGTTTGCCAATGGATTTGGGTATGCAAAGACGTGCTCAACATTTTTGCAAATTGAAGCATTTGTGTAAGTTAAGACACTCTCATATCATTCAAGCATTTCAATGATTCATTACTTCTAGATTTTGAGTGAATCCTCATAGAGGGGGGCTTTGGCATAAGGGTCTCCGCGGGAGTGTGGAGGAAGGTAGTTGTTGGCTCTGGTTGTGGAGGATTACTGACGTTGGGTGGTTAGTGTTCCCTAGAGAAGGTTAGAGACAGGGACATAGGGACTGAGAGAAAAGAGAGAGAAAATAGTGAGAAATTAGAGGAAGTCACCGGTCATCATATTTAAATGATGTAATTTGTGATGCAAGTCCTTTTGTTCAAAAAAAAAAAGATGCAACTCCGTGAGCTCTAGGCATGCTTGAGAAGTTGAAGTGGACAAGCAAGAGGAAGAAGGGAAGAGGATGGAAAAATGTTGACAAGGGTATTGTTGTCCTTTTAAAAAATTAAAAGTTTGACTTCCCCTTAATTTTTTAGGCATGTGTGACAAAATTGTCATCAAATTAGATTAATTTTTCAACAATGTACTTGGTCCACAAACAACGCGAGGGTTATTGGACTATTTTTGAAGATGAGGGGTTGATATTCAGAGATGTCTAATTCGAGAGGGTAAAATGACATTTGCTTAAAATTGTAAGCAAACACATTCTCACTTCTAATTTATTGAATGTTCACGAATTTCTTTTATCTAAAATTTTTTTGCAACTTGTTTTGTTTTTCTTTTTCTAACTTCAATTTGTCCAAATATTTGAATTTTTTTTTTCAAAAATGGAACCGTGATTCATGGGTAAACGACATGGGTAACACTTGGTCTTTTCCCTCTTTCTTATCTAATGAGTGTCTTATTCTCTACGTTGTCTATATAGATATTTTTTGGAGGTAATCTTTTCCTTAATATTTCTAAATTTTCTATGTCCAAATCTTATGGTGTAGCTATTTTCTTGTAGCAAAATCGTGGATCTGCCATGGGAGATATTGAAACTACTTTCTTACGAGTTTGAGTTGCCAATATTATCAACTATCTATTTCTCTACAGAAATCTTGATTGAGAAAAGGTTGCCATTGAAAACTAGGCATGAAAATCTAGATAAACATTATATAGTAATAGATTTTTCATTTTCTTCCACTCCATATGCGAATTTAGAAGAAAACACCTATCATTCATTTATTTTGTGTGAAGATTTTCCATTTGTCTGAATTTGTCTGTTATTATTAGTGAATTGTAATTCAGTGGTATATTGACTATATCCGCAAACATTTTACTACTTTATAGACAATTTGGATTTTACACGTGTAGTTCCTTACTTATTTAATGCTATGAAAAGGTTGCATACCTCTGAACCTTCTAAGCACAAGCATTACCATTCTTTTACCNTCCGCAAACATTTTACTACTTTATAGACAATTTGGATTTTACACGTGTAGTTCCTTAGTTATTTAATGCTATGAAAAGGTTGCATACCTCTGAACCTTCTAAGCACAAGCATTACCATTCTTTTACCCTTGCATACTTCTATTTTGTGCTGGCAAGTTGTACAAGGCCTGCTTGTTATTAAAGTTATTGCACAATAAATCTCCCCCTTGTTTGCCCATGTTAAGGTTGTCTCTTCCACCAGACCGAGCAAAATATCCTTACTCAGTAGGACATCTATTAAAATTTGTGCTCCTCAAGTTTCTGGATTGATGCTTGTTCTGACAATTCTCCAATGCGAATCCTTTATGCAACATGAAGGACAACCTCAGTCAGCTCAGCCCACACCATGCATTAAGAGAGTTTCAAGTGTCAATTCCTTCCTAATTTCTTAATATGATTACTGTTTGGGTAATAATTTTTTAGGAGCCGTTTGTCAAAGTTTTTGGACAAGTTAAGCTAGCTAGAACATTGGCTTCAATTAGTAGGCTTTCAAAGGCAGTAATAAGTCAAAGTGGTCAAGTTTCAATGTAAATACCTCTTGAAGCCTGTTGCATCAAACACACTATATATTGTTCCCTTTTTTGGATTCTAAGTATAGTAAGCTATTCAATGGGGGTCCCCTCTTCCATGCTGTTAAAGTCCCAACACTGATAAAAGTGGGAGTTAGTTCCTGTTCTTGGAGAGTAACCTAAAAACTTTACTATGGATACCTTCGATTTCAAAACATTCACCATTTCAGATATGCTGTCCGATAGAACAACAGAGCAACTTTGTATCATGTTCTTAGTTTTGTTCTTGAGAATGATCTCAATGTGCATAAGGAAGTTGTGTTTTTGGGATCTTATCAGAGACTTAGGCGACAGACAAAACATGTTACTAATAAGGCCTAGAAGACAAAAGAAATCCATTGTGAGGTCCAACATATGCAAGTCTCATAGTGGAAACAACCTTGATGGAGACAACTTTACCAACATCACTCAATCCATCACCCTTACCCTTGTTTTTTTTTTTTTTATCGTTATATCCTATCTTAATCATCCCCCTTGTTGGCAATCCTTGCCATTTTCCTCATCCTCACACTTCTGTTTATTGCCTCTAGTCAAAATTGCCTTTACAGGAGCTTATTTAGGATCCACCTCTTTGTATGAGATGCTAGAAGATTGTCTTAGTGATAGCTGGGATTGTTCGTTGCTACAACAAGTGAGTTCTGTACCTCAAAATGATCACCTTCTTCTGAAAGAGAAGTGTTTCTTTGTCCTAGGTTATCTCAGCATCTTGGGCTGGGTTAACTTGACAGGTCAGCTTGATCTGGCCTTGCTTTATCATAAAAATGTCTCCAATCTTGGATGAATCCTCCAAGTTTGCCATGTTCTTTTTTTTGTGTCAAATTATCATCTCAGCCCTGATCAACACTATACCTGCGTACTGTCCAATATTGGGCTTGATCAATACCAAGTGATCCACAGTGAAATTAAAAAGCAAAGTTTTCTAAATTCATGTCACTGTTGCTGTCCATATTTCAAAAACAGAGTTTGTTTTGCCTAGGAGGTTAAAATGTTAAAACAAAGAAATGAGAGATATGAAACCATCAGATTGCTCTATTGGCTCGCTTTCTAAATTTGTACAATTCAGTTTCGGAACTCAAATAAATAGTTGTTTGATTCATTCGATGACCTTGTTTGTTGTTGCCATATTGCAAGCACTCAAAATGTTTTTCAGCCTTTGAATGGACGTGCAGCCAAAAAATTGAATATGCAACCAACCATTTAATCCAATTCTTGTGCATATCCTTTGTTTCTTGTGGTGACACTATTATAGTAAATTCTATATTTGTACTTGTTCAGCCATTTTACGAATAGAAGTTTTTGTGTTTAAATATAAACACTTGTTTGTTCCAACAAGCACAACTGATCTAACTTCTTCCACTGTAATGGTAAATCCCTGACATACAGTTTTGTGCCTTCATTCTTAGAAATGAACACCAGTCCTTCACAGGAATCTGGACCAGTTATAGTATATCTTCCATCTCACCCAACGAGGGAAGAGTGGAGTAACATCATAGGTGCAAGCAAAAGGGGAGTTGCACTGACTGGGAGTGCAGCGATGGGGCAAATTGGACCAGTTTTAGGACTTATTGATATTGGGGAGTGTGAAGACTCTTACCTGTTCCGTGTATCACTTCCTGGAGTGAAAAGGGATGAAAGTATGTTTTATTTTGGGATATGAATTTTTTACAATTTTCACATGCATAATTGCATTTTATTTTTAGTTAGGTTATGATGCTCTCAATAATGAAAATTTGTCATCAGTTTTTTAACTGCATTTTGGATTTATGAATGTTACATGTTTTAAGAGTGTGAGACTATGGATAAATATCTGTTTGGTATGAAAAATCCATATCGACATGAAAGTCAGGCCATTTCTAATTTAGTTCTTGGGAAAATTGTTAATAATTCCTGCTTTCCCCCTTAAAAAACCATGCGATAGTATCAAATTTCTATTAGGACAATTTTAGTTTTTATTAGGAAAATTGAGTCATATTTTTTAAATGAAATTTTAAACAAGCCCAAAGTTTACTATTTTCCTTTTTGCCCTTTGGTTTTTCAGTATAAAATTATTTAGAATTTATTTTGGTTTCTTAATTGAGCTAAACATTGGCAATCATCTGAATGATTTGAGTCAAAATAGTGATATCAACAGTATCAGGGTTTGTAAAGAGAAAGAGGGAAGAAGAAAGAAACAGGAAGAGAAAGAGAAATAAAAAACAATAATTTGTGTGTGGGCTATGCTTTCTTAGACTCTGTTATTTATAATAAACTCACATTTTGAGTAATTACACTATTACCCTACACTTCTAATAATATAAAATAAGAACTATAACACTCCTCCTAAGCATAAAGATCAAAGATGTCCAGCTTGGAACAAAGATTAGGGATGACAGATTGAACTAATGGTTTGGTAAGAATATCATCCCGCTGATCACTAGACTTGATGTATAGTGTGATAATCTCTTTTCGCGTCAGGAGATCTCGAATAAAATAGTAATCTACCTCAATATGTTTAGTCCTCTTATAAAATACTGGATTATTGGCAATAGAAATAGTCCATTGGTTTTCACAATGCATCTCCATATGAGAGGACACACTGATATCCATATCATGAAGTAAAAAATGAACCCACAACATATCACACGCAATATAAGCCATGGCCTGGTCTTCAGGCTGTGCACTCGGACGCGCAACTATATTTTGTTTCTTGTTACGCCACGTTACAAGATTGACACCAATAAATGTATAGTAATCTGAAGTAGATCGTCTATCAACACTATTGCCTACCTAGTCAGTATAAAAAAACTAGTAATAATCATAGAAGATGAAGAACGATATAATAATTATTTACCCGTAGCTAGGAATAGCAGTGGACCGGGGCGGCGACGGGGGCAAGGGGATTAGTCTCCAATCCCCNGAACGATATAATAATTATTTACCCGTAGCTAGGAATAGCAGTGGACCGGGGCGGCGATGGGGGCAATGGGATTAGTCTCCAATCCCGNAGTATAAAAAAACTAGTAATAATCATAGAAGATGAAGAACGATATAATAATTATTTACCCGTAGCTAGGAATAGCAGTGGACCGGGGCGGCGACGGGGGCAAGGGGATTAGTCTCCAATCCCGTACTCATTCAAAAATATTCGTCCATCCCTGTTAGCGGGTGAAATTTTAATTCCTGTTCCCGCCACCGTCCTTGTCTATAACAATTAATTTTTATGATTTTAAGAAAAAATTTAAAAAATAAATTAATAAAACCTCACAAATGGTTATGCAAGAAGAATGAAATCCCATTATATATATAACAAATAGATCAAAAAAAAAAAGGAAAAGTAGAGTTTTTTTTTTGGTAAAGAGAAGAATGTGTGAGTAAGTGAGGTTTGCGATATTATATATATGTATTAGTAAGTGGATGGGAGGGTGGAATTTGTATTTTTGTGATATTATATATATGTATTATATAATATATATCACAGATTTAGCGGGGCGGGGAGGGGTTGGGCAGAGGCGGGGAGGGGATGAGTCTAAGTTCATCTCCACGTCCATTCTCGCACGAGTTTATATGGGTATTCTCATATACGTCCACCGTCCAATATGTGTGGTCCATTCCTGGTTCAAATGGGACGGATTTGGAANGAGTCTAAGTTCATCTCCACGTCCATTCTCGCACGAGTTTATATGGGTATTCTCGTATACGTCCACCGTCCAATATGTGTGGTCCATTCCTGGTTCAAATGGAACGGATTTGGACGAATACTCGTTTTTTCCGGTCCACTGCCATTTCTTCCCGGAGCTCCTTTCAGACAACGAAGAATGCAACAAATAGAATCCCAATGAGACTTACAAGGAGCATGCATGAATTGACTAACTACACCAATAACATAGGTAATAGCAGGTCATGTAACTATAAGATAAATCAGCTTACCAACCAACCTTTGATAACGCTCTGCATCATCAAAAACTTTCCCACTCTCAGCACCTAACTTAACCGTGCCGTCCATGAGAGTATTAGTTAGATGTGCACCAAGAATACTAGTTTTAGACAACAAATTCATTTCATACTTCCGCTAGCACAAATTGATACCTTCCATTGACTGAGTAACTTTAATCCCAAAAAAATACCGAAGAAGACCTAGGTCTTTGGTATGAAACTACTTTCCATAAAAACTGGATCTTGAAGTGGATAATATCATCTGAGTCATTACCACTAATGATGATGTCATCAACATACATAATAAAAATAATAATGTCTATAGAAGAACGACGAATAAACATTAAATGATCTGAGGTAAAACTCTAAAAGCGATACTGAAGTACAACAATATTGAACTTATCAAACCAAACATGTGGTGATTGTTTTAGACCGTATAATGATTTCTTCAAACGACACACTAATTGTTCCTTACTAGAGGTAACATAACCTAGAAGTTGTGTGCCATATATACCTCCTCTCAAGTAAAAAAAAACATTCTTGATGTTTAGCCGATATAAAGGTCAATCACATATTGCAACATAAATAAGAACTCTAATAGAATTAAGATGAGCAATAGGGGAAAAAGTCTCACAATAGTCCACACCATATGTTTGTGTATAGCCTTTGACAACCAAACGTACCTTCAAATGCTCAACTAAATCATCAAGATGATATTTTTCAATATAAAACCAACGACAACTAACAAGATGCTTACTAGAATGAAGATTAGTAAGAGGAAAACCTCATCCATAGTCAACTTCCAACCAAGAGATATCAAAGTCGATGCAAAACAATGAAAGGATGATAAAATCCGTTGCAAAATAACAAAATTATAAATAGGATACTTGGTATAGGTACGCGTACCTTTCCTTAATGCAATAGGTAGATCAGAAGAGGATGAACCAGTTGACGGATCAGAAGGTAAGACCTCAATAGAAGCAAGTGATGGCTCTGGAGCTGGAGCATATGGAATAACTTGTTTGTCTTTAGAACGACAATAAACCTACAACAAAGGAGTAGTATTCAGGGAAAGAGAAGATGCACAGTTTGGTACAATAGGCAGCAAGGGCTCCCCCTAGGAAAGACTAGATTTGGTGAAACTGTATGCCCTGCGCAGAAAAGAAAGGTGACTCAAAAAAGGTAACATCAACTTTAACATAGTATCGGCGAGAGACAAGGTCATAGCACGGATAACTTTTTTGAATATGAGAATATCTCAAAAAGACACACTTAACCCCGCGAGGTGAAAGTTTGTCCTAACTCGAACTAAGAAGATGAATAAATGCAATGCAACAAAAAACACGAGGAATGAGTCCAATTGAAGATTTATCAGGATAAAGTAATGAAAAACGAGATTTGTTGTCCAAAATGGGGGAAGACATGCGATTAATAAAATAAACTAAAGTAAGAATCGCATTAGCCCAATCTGGTTTTGGTACATGCATATTAAATATCAAGGTGAGGGCAACATCTAACAAATGGTGGTGTTTATGTTCGGCAACGTCATTTTATTGGGAGGTACGAGCATAGATAGTAGATAATACCACGGTCTACACAAAAGTTTTTCATAAATAATTGAATATGCTCAAGGACATTATCAGATCGAAGAACTTTAATACGGGTATCGAATTGAACCAGAATTTTATTGTAAAAAGTGATCAAGATCTTAGACAATTCACATCGGTATTTCATAAGAAATAAGTAAGTCATATGAGAGAAATCATCAAGAAAGATGACAAAATGCTGAAAAGCGGAAATACTTTTCACTCTTGTAGGACCCCAAATATCTGTTTGAACAATATGAAATGGACTGGACTGACGATTTGAGGAATTAGGAGGAAAAGAACTACGGTAATGCTTGGCTAATTGACAAGCCCCACATTCTAACACAAAAAAGGAACCCAAATCAGGAATAACTTGACGTAACTTTTCAAAGACGGATAACCTAGTTAGAAGTGCCATTGAAGAGGAGACACAGTAGTACTCAAAGAGGAATAAAACTATAAAAATCTAAATAATACAAACTATTGCTTTCATGTTTTGAACCAATACCTTTTTCGTCTTAAGGTCTTGAAAAACACATGAAAATGGAGAGAGGGTCATGGAACACTGCCTTGATTTAGTTAGCTGACTCACGTATAGCAAGTTAAAGGAAAAATTTGGAACAAATAAACCAAAGATTAGTGACATCGAATGAGTAGGAAGGAGATCGTCAATTTTGTGTATTGGTCGAAAGGAGCCATCAGTTAACACAATACGTGAGTTAGATGTACGAAAATTAGAGAATAGGGAAGATTTACCAAAAATATGAGCACTAGCTCTTGAATCAATAATTCAAGATGATGAAGGAGGTCAAGCAGCTACACATACCAAATTACCTTCATTAGCAAGATTGGTATTAGGAGGAGAAAACTGTGGAAAAAGAAACATAACTTTTGGATGAGCTGACGAAGTTGAGAAAAGAGATGATCATGAGAATCAGTAATAGATGCAACTGGACCATTGGTAGAAGACTGACGTATGAGAAAACTCAAAGTATCCTTAAAAGCCTGATTAGTATATGTTGGTCTCCCATACTTTATCCCAACAATAATTCTCAGTATGTCCTGTGTGACCACAATAAATACACTTCTACTCAAAACGATGACCACTAAAGGAACAACCACAACATTCACCAAGTCTTGTGTAGAGACCACGACGACTGACATTATGGAGCAAATCATGACCGTCACCATGATCACCTTTCAAGGTCATCGTTGAGAAACCCACAAGGATCAGCAATTACACAAACATGAAACAACCAACAAACCACAAATAGAAGTACTCATCCACCAAGGGCAGCAATCCCACAATTGGATTTGTATAAATCAAGCCACAACATCAAGCAACTCCACAAGAAATGAACTGGCCCTATCTTCAGTGAACCCAAGCTGGAATACTATATGGGAAATGATTAGACCAGATAGATTAAGGTTGAAATCCACCAACACACAACTGAAAGTCAGATTAGGGCAATTACACAAACAATCCACACAACCAGAAGCTAAATAGGGGCAGAATACAACAATCCCAAACCAGCCCCAACACCCCGTCACTGTTCACAGACCAGCGTCATCACCTTTCGGCAAACCAGGCACAAAACGATGGCAAAAAAAATCAAACAATGGTTAGGCATTTCAAATAAAACCTCCCAGCATCTAGTCGGATGTATCTGAGAAGAATTGAAGCGACAAATCTCAAAAAAAACCCAAAATCAGTATATCAAGAAATTTGACCCTATTTTTGCAAAAAACATTCAAAATATAAAACTCTAACCGGGTGGCTTCAAAAAATTAAACAAAAATCACCACAATGTTCAACACAAAAAACCGAGTTAGATGACGTCTCTCTGACATCAGAAGTTGTNGAAAATGGAGAGAGGGTCATGGAACACTGCCTTGATTTAGTTAGCTGACTCACGTATAGCAAGTTAAAGGAAAAATTTGGAACAAATAAACCAAAGATTAGTGACATCGAATGAGTAGGAAGGAGATCGTCAATTTTGTGTATTGGTCGAAAGGAGCCATCAGTTAACACAATACGTGAGTTAGATGTACGAAAATTAGAGAATAGGGAAGATTTACCAAAAATATGAGCACTAGCTCTTGAATCAATAATTCAAGATGATGAAGGAGGTCAAGCAGCTACACATACCAAATTACCTTCATTAGCAAGATTGGTATTAGGAGGAGAAAACTGTGGAAAAAGAAACATAACTTTTGGATGAGCTGACGAAGTTGAGAAAAGAGATGATCATGAGAATCAGTAATAGATGCAACTGGACCATTGGTAGAAGACTGACGTATGAGAAAACTCAAAGTATCCTTAAAAGCCTGATTAGTATATGTTGGTCTCCCATACTTTATCCCAACAATAATTCTCAGTATGTCCTGTGTGACCACAATAAATACACTTCTACTCAAAACGATGACCACTAAAGGAACAACCACAACATTCACCAAGTCTTGTGTAGAGACCACGACGACTGACATTATGGAGCAAATCATGACCGTCACCATGATCACCTTTCAAGGTCATCGTTGAGAAACCCACAAGGATCAGCAATTACACAAACATGAAACAACCAACAAACCACAAATAGAAGTAATCATCCACCAAGGGCAGCAATCCCACAATTGGATTTGTATAAATCAAGCCACAACATCAAGCAACTCCACAAGAAATGAACTGGCCCTATCTTCAGTGAACCCAAGCTGGAATACTATATGGGAAATGATTAGACCAGATAGATTAAGGTTGAAATCCACCAACACACAACTGAAAGTCAGATTAGGGCAATTACACAAACAATCCACACAACCAGAAGCTAAATAGGGGCAGAATACAACAATCCCAAACCAGCCCCAACACCCCGTCACTGTTCACAGACCAGCGTCATCACCTTTCGGCAAACCAGGCACAAAACGATGGCAAAAAAAATCAAACAATGGTTAGGCATTTCAAATAAAACCTCCCAGCATCTAGTCGGATGTATCTGAGAAGAATTGAAGCGACAAATCTCAAAAAAAACCCAAAATCAGTATATCAAGAAATTTGACCCTATTTTTGCAAAAAAACATTCAAAATATAAAACTCTAACCGGGTGGCTTCAAAAAATTAAACAAAAATCACCACAATGTTCAGCACAAAAAACCGAGTTAGATGACGTCTCTCTGACATCAAAAGTTGCTGACGTCAGTCTCCGATGATGATGTCAACGATGTATTGTTTCTCCGAAATTCTTATCCAGTATTTTTTATGATGCTTTCATGCAAACCTTGCTCTGACACCAAGTCAAAATAGTGATATCAACAGTATTAGGGTTTGAAAAGAGAAAAAGGTAAGAAGATAGGAAGAGGAAGGGAAAGAAAAGACTGTGTGGGCTACGTTGCCCTACACTCTTTTATTTATAATAAACTCACATTATGAGTATATATATTATTACCCTACACTTATAATAATATAAAATAAGAACTTTAACACTTTGAACTATAGCCTATTTTATTTTTTTAATGCTTAGTAAAAATATATTAAAAAATGTAAGTAATAATAGTAAGTATGAGATGATTTGTCAAATATTATATAAAATCACAAATATTTTGTAGCAAAGGACAAAATTTGATTCAAGTCTATTACTGATGGGGTTCAGTTAATTTGGAACAACTTACTAAAGTTTGTCCTAATGGAAATTTATAGGAAATAGTATTTGGTGAGAAAAATAGGACTTATTGGGAATTTTCCCTTAATTCTTTTGCCATTCAAAATGAGATTATGTATTTCTATTTTTCAAAGATGGATTAATTTTGCATATATACTATGATGTTTTTGGCCTTTTTGTGATGAGTTTTTCTTTCCTCAATACCTGAGATGGCTGTGCTTTCATGTAATTCACGTCAAAATTGATTTTGTCAGTTCCATCACATTGTTGGTTTTTTTGGCCCTTTTCCCTTGTTGGGTAGTTCATGCTCATTATCCATGAAGTAGCTGCTGGTTTTATGTGACTGCAGGAGATTTCAGTTGTGAAGTCGAAAATGATGGTAAAGTGTTCATCAGAGGAGTAACAAATACTGGTGAAAAAACAGTCTACAGGTATTCCCAGGTGTTCGAGATGCAATCTCAGAACCTTTGTCCGCCGGGGCATTTCTCCATCTCGTTTAAGCTGCCAGGTCCAGTTGATACTCGGCAATTCTCTGGTAATTTTGGTACTGATGGGATTCTTGAGGGAATAGTGATGAAACCTGGACAGATAAGAATGACTTGCTAAGCTAATACTTTGGTAGATATCTGTGTCCTGAACATGTGGTGAATGTCTATATAGTTCACGTAGTAGTTCCAAGAACTTTTAGAATGATGGACTGAGAACTCTGCTTTGTTGTATAGCCTTGCTAATTCTAATGCAATGTTATCTTAGGCTTGTATATACCAAGTACAGCCCTCCCCCACCCCCCATGTATATATGCATTCATATATTGGCCTCCGGTTTCTATTGCTAGAGTGTAAAAGCTGAAGGCATTCAAAGCATCTGCACGCATGATTTTGTGGTCAGTTGAGTTGTATTTATTGGGGTTTTTTTTTTCCCGCTAGAGTATTTCTCAATGATGATTCAGTACGAGTAAGATGAACATTAGGCATGCCAGGNTTAGAGCGTTAGACATTCGGTTTCCTCTTTCTTCTTTTCTTTATTCATTTCTTACCAATGTCAGTATACAACCTTTTGAAGTTTAGAGCGTTAGACCGACAGTTGTTACATTTAAAGATAAAATTACCACCTTTTGAAGGTTAAATTACAACTTAAAAAAGAATTTTTGAAAGCCCGAGTTACAATAGATAGAGGTAATTCATGATCAACTGTAACATTTCATGATCGATCACAAGGTATAACTTGACCCTCAATCGTGATAAATTTCGGTTTTTTAAACCTCCTCGGTACTGTAGCTTCATCGTATGTTTTAACAAAGCACTGGGTCTGTCTGCATCATTCATAAGCAGTTGCAACTTAGAGATCGCAGTTAAAAGAGTGCAGGGCCCCTTGGTAAAAAAACAATCAAACTATCCAGAAAAAGGGAGACTGGCTTAGCCAGCAGTCTAGCACCACCACAGCAGTGACCAGTATCACTGCTTGAATAATTGCAAGTTTACAAAAATTTGGTTGAGTCCTAATCTTGGGCTGTTCAATGCATCAGACGCTCATTTCTGCGCTGCCCAAAAACCACCAAGAGTCCAGAAAATTCGAATAACTGCTATTATAAACCACAGGACACTTGCGAAATAGGGGCGATGGCTACAACTACAGCATATTACAACTTGGTTTTGTTTTCAATTGGCAGTAGTACAGTTAGGAACAGTATCTAACTACACTTGAAAGAAACAAAACAGGAGAGAGAGAGAGAGTGATCAATAATCTGATATCTGCTTGGCAACCAAAACACAAAAAACCGAAATAAAAAAACAAGAAAGATCTGCAATCCTATTTGAGCAAGCTTTACCATAATCAGCTGATAGCATTTTTGCATTTTAAGCACTGAAGGTCCTTTCCCCCACCTGCCAAGATTCAGAAANTTAGAGCGTTAGACATTCGGTTTCCTCTTTCTTCTTTTCTTTATTCATTTCTTACCAATGTCAGTATACAACCTTTTGAAGTTTAGAGCGTTAGACCGACAGTTGTTACATTTAAAGATAAAATTACCACCTTTTGAAGGTTAAATTACAACTTAAAAAAGAATTTTTGAAAGCCTGAGTTACAATAGATAGAGGTAATTCATGATCAACTGTAACATTTCATGATCGATCACAAGGTATAACTTGACCCTCAATCGTGATAAATTTCGGTTTTTTAAACCTCCTCGGTACTGTAGCTTCATCGTATGTTTTAACAAAGCACTGGGTCTGTCTGCATCATTCATAAGCAGTTGCAACTTAGAGATCACAGTTAAAAGAGTGCAGGGCCCCTTGGTAAAAAAACAATCAAACTATCCAGAAAAAGGGAGACTGGCTTAGCCAGCAGTCTAGCACCACCACAGCAGTGACCAGTATCACTGCTTGAATAATTGCAAGTTTACAAAAATTTGGTTGAGTCCTAATCTTGGGCTGTTCAATGCATCAGACGCTCATTTCTGCGCTGCCCAAAAACCACCAAGAGTCCAGAAAATTCGAATAACTGCTATTATAAACCACAGGACACTTACGAAATAGGGGCGATGGCTACAACTACAGCATATTACAACTTGGTTTTGTTTTCAATTGGCAGTAGTACAGTTAGGAACAGTATCTAACTACACTTGAAAGAAACAAAACAGGAGAGAGAGAGAGAGTGATCAATAATCTGATATCTGCTTGGCAACCAAAACACAAAAAACCGAAATAAAAAAACAAGAAAGATCTGCAATCCTATTTGAGCAAGCTTTACCATAATCAGCTGATAGCATTTTTGCATTTTAAGCACTGAAGGTCCTTTCCCCCACCTGCCAAGATTCAGAAAAGTTTCAGTCAACAAACTTTTGTGATCCCAAAATTTAGAATTAGCAAAAGGAGAAATACAAAGAAAGGAAACAACCACCACCATCTCCATCAGCCAGTAATGTAGAAAATGACATAGTATAATAAATTCAAGTGAAAAGATCCTTTACAAAAAGGCATCATATTTTAGACTACTGCTTCTTTGGACAAAAATGTGAGATTCTCACTAAATTTTTTTAAAAAAAGAAATGGCCCTAAATGGATAACTTGACCCGAAACTTTGCATTGAATAAGAACTTGGCAATAAATTCTATGAGGAGGTCACATAGTAATATAAAGGGGCTTAAGGAATCTAACATAAGCATACATGTGGTTCATTTATGTGGTGTTCCTAGCTTGAGCTCATTCCCATTCTTTTGGTCAATGGTCTCATTTACAATTCAAGCTGCACAAAAAGCTTGTAAAATGGAAGAAATTAGATAAACTTGTTAGATTCCTAAGATCCATAGAATCTAGACAGCTATCAGTTCCAAAAAAAGAACATGGCTAAATGGCTTCACAGAAAGGCCGCAAAATTACTAGACATAATGACAGTAATTACAATATCAAGATTATGTTGCACCTAGTGTCTGAGAATAAATAGACCCATGGAGTCATTTATCCAAATAGAGTTGAGTGATGTAAATAAGATACCCCAATTGTCTTACAAGAAGTATTCATACAACACTTCCATTGGAATTAGTGAGGATGCATGGGACGAAAAGAGTCTTCATGAAAAAGTCGCCACAGACAATGTAATCCAAGCAATTGAACCATAAACATTCTTTCCAATATATAATTAACACCAATTGTTTTCANAGACATAATGACAGTAATTACAATATCAAGATTATGTTGCACCTAGTGTCTGAGAATAAATAGACCCATGGAGTCATTTATCCAAATAGAGTTGAGTGATGTAAATAAGATACCCAATTGTCTTACAAGAAGTATTCATACAACACTTCCATCGGAATTAGTGAGGATGCATGGGACGAAAAGAGTCTTCATGAGAAAGTCGGCACAGACAATGTAATCCAAGCAATTGAACCATAAACATTCTTTCCAATATATAATTAACACCAATTGTTTTCAGTTTTCAATCCCAAAGCAATCTAGTAAAAGAATACATATATACTCACTTTTATGGAAGTAGTTTTCTTCATCAGCTAAGAGTCTGAAGGTGATTGTGGTTGCTGTGGCGCCTGTGGCCACATAGGTGGTGCCATGTAGGGATGAGGCTGCTGTCCATACAAAGCAGGATCCATAATTGGCTTGTTCATTATCATCCCAGGATTTCCAGCCTGTGGTGAATGCTGAGCTGGCATGTAATAGTAAGGAAATGCATCAGAAGGCCCTCCAACAGGGACTGTACCCGTTGGCGCTGATGCAAGTGCTTCATCTTTCAGATCCTCCCTTGGCACTATGTCAACCAAAAAATCAAAGATATCAGTCCTTGTGATTGCTGCTGCTATGTCATTCTTCTGAAGAGTCCTCCTCTTGTTCTCCTCAGTGTGATTCCAGGACCGCAAAGTCAATTCTAAGATGAACATCTCGCATGCCCTGGCAAATACAATTGGTGCCTCGGCTGATATCATTCTCACATCCTCATCAGCCTTCATGATCTTCTTAATCCTTGCCAGGGGAAGGCTATGGTTCTTAAAGTCGGTTACTTTCTCAATTTCTTGGTATTGATTTGCCCAAAATGACTGGTGTTGTTGATGCAATTGTTGCTGCTGCTGGTGGATATGCTGATAGGCGAGCTGCTGCTGTGCAAGCTGAGCTCCAGCTGGCTGACTGGTAGGTAGCATGGCCCCAACTGATCCACGATTAGGAGGCCCAGTCAGTTGGTTTGGCTCATATGTTGTTCCATACGCATGTTGAGCTGTACTACCAACAACACCCGTGACATGCTGCTGTTCATGCCCTTGCGGATCCATTCTGCTTATTTTATGTTCAAAGATGGATGCTTAGTAGTCTAATATTGACGTGAACTGGCAAGAATCGAAGAACACAAAATAAATGAGTTATCTTGCTGAGGCAAAATTTGTCTTGAGAATCAATTCTGCTCAAAACATTGTCTCTATTTAATTTGAATTCCAACTGCTGACTGCAAGCAGCTACTAAAGAAAACAAGTACAATCAGTTAAAATTACTAAATTTAGAAATACCTTTTTTGCAAGATAAATCACCAATTGTCATGAAAGCCATGACTAAATATTCTATTTCACATATTTTATGTGAATACAATCAATATTGCCTGTTTTTAAATGGTATAACAAAAAGTTTGTTTTCTATCCCCCATTGTGAGTGAAGATCTAAATGTAGTAGAAGACTTATAGGGATCTAAGCAACTAAGTTGAGATGACCTTCTTTATGACGAAGAAGCATCCCAATCACGTGCCTTTTGGATCCATGGCTACAACACAAACTCCAAATGCATTGAGATGCACATAATAACCAAGTAGTTGTATTGTTAAACTCCATTGTTCTGCTAGACGAACAGAATTTCACACAATTGCAAAACATGAGGGAAAAAATAAAAAGAAAGATAAAGCGAGTTTAATTGCCAGTGAACATGTTCAACAGAAGCAAGAATGGCTTGTTTTCTCCCTCTTTAATAGATGGAATGATAATCCAATCTTGAATATTAAGTAGACCTTCACTAGTGGTAAACATAATTGTCAAATCGCATATTACAAGGTATATCGTTTTTAAAAAATAGTATATCGCATCATATCTTGTATTGTAAGATATGCGCAATTTTAATATTTAAATAATTATTAATAAAATTTATATATATACGTTTAAAAAAAAGTCATAGGCTCATAATAACAAAGTATTTCATTAATATTTCACCAACTATTCAAGTTCCCAACATAGTTTATTAATATCAACTACTTGAACAACCTTAATATCAATCAGAACTTTTGAATTCAATGAACAACATTAACAACAGATTTTATTTTATTTTTTTAAACCATAACCACTAAAACTACGTTATTTCACTGGCTAGTAATTAAAAAATAAGTTCTAGGGTAAAACGATGTCATTTTAGTTCCTAAAAAACCAAAAAAAAGTTAAAAAAAAAAATAGAATCTTTAGGTATCGTACGTATCGAACATATCGTATCTNATTTTATTTTTTTAAACCATAACCACTAAAACTACGTTATTTCACTGGCTAGTAATTTAAAAATAAGTTCTAGGGTAAAACGATGTCATTTTAGTTCCTAAAAAACCAAAAAAAAGTTTAAAAAAAAAAATAGAATCTTTAGGTATCGTACGTATCGAACATATCGTATCTTATCGTATCAGACGTATTGTACCATGTATCATACGATATAGTACAAAAATGATATAGAGACGATACGTATCATTTTTGGTAGATTTGTGATCCAGTATCTTTCACAAGTCCACTAATCTTCTTTGGTGTCTTTCTCCCAAAATAATCCAAAAATAGGAAAGCGCACCAAATCTGTAAAAACTTAAAACTTACAGCACTCATATCAAAAGGAATTCATTTTCTCTGCATAAATCAGGTTAAAAATTAACAAAGCATGTTCTACTTGCACAAACGTTAGGCATTTGCATTATCTTCCAAATGCAGTCAGTAGTTAGGCATTTGCATTATCTTCAAAAGGCTGTTAGTAGTGATCGAATCTTGCTGTCCTCTGATCTTTATTTCTAAGGCATACATGATAAGAGTCTTCAATACATTAGGCAGAACTATCTTCAACAAACGTATAAAAACCTAACCGTTACTTCTCCCATTAAGACAACATAACATTCTCTTCTGACCCCTTACAAGATGTCCAATTTTTCCTATAATTTCTGAATCACAGCGTTAAATCAAAAACAATACTTTCACATTCATTCTATAACTCTTCTATAAAACTTTGCAACAAAAAAAGGTAAACAATGATCATTCGTACAAATAGGAAGCAAAAGCAAAGAATAGCACAAGGAATGATATCGGTACGTCACCTAAAGGCTAAAACATATCTGGAGAAACAGAAAATAAAAGTTTGGGTAGTTTTTTCTCTAGCACTATGCTCAACATGCAGCACCACTAGCACGCCAAAGAAACATCAACGGAATTAACAAGTGGAAGTGAAAACCACGACCTGAGGAGGGTTCAGCCATCTAGAGAATTCATTTTACCAGGAGTACTGGATGAAAGATGAGCTGAAATTCACAAAAAAATTCCCCTAAATTATTTGCCGTTTCCAGTGCTTCCCACATGGTTTTACCACCTTTGTAAATTTCAAATATATTTCCAATGATTTTCATCCATTTAAGATATAAAGGATCTGCCTATTAAAAGAAGATATGCAGAGACTCAGTTCCCTCCAAGCAAAGAAAGGAAACTGAGGATCAAGTAAAAATAGTGGGAATTTACAATCAACTAAAATTTTCAACCAAAAGAAAAAAAAAAGTGTAAAGCTACTGCAATAAATTTGCTAAAATTGAAATTCATGCAAAGACAAACCCCAATTTTTGATCGCCATTGCTATTGAAACTTGAAATTCTTTCAAATTTGGTTTCATCTATCCGATCGGCCTCAGATATAACAAACCCAACGATCAAAACAGGGAAAAGTCAAAGATTCCAAAACAAAGCCATCTTCTATTCAATGAAAAACTTTAAAAAAAAAAAAAACAAGAAAATTGTTCATGTTTCAATTCTATATCTCTTGTAGGGAAGTAATTACATCAAAAGAAAAAAAGTCAACATCCAATACACACTTTAAGGATCAAACATTCAAAGAAACCACGCAAACAAAATTTTCTTTTTCTGGGTCAGAGTGGAAATGAACGATAGATATATAACTAGACGTTGGCAGAGAAAAACAGTGTACCTCTGGATTCAGTTCTATGCTGATCTTCTCACGGTAATTCAAAGCCTGAAAGAAACAACAACTATTTATGAGATCAAACAGATAAAATTAACCAAAATGATGGTATATAGTCCGTACATGGTATATATATACAAGTGTGTGCATTACCGTGCAGTAAATGATTGGCTTTTTGTAGGGTTGATGAGAAATACAGGAGGATCTAATAAAGGATTGTCTGTATTTGGCCCGAAAGAACCCAAAAGATCAGAAAACGAGAGTTCGATTCTGACTCTTCTGTATAGGGAAACAATTTCTCTGACGTAAATGCCCTGCTCATGAATTACCCTTTTTTTTTTGGCCTTTTCTAGAGGGCTGCTTATTCTGCTTTTTTTTTTTAATTTTTTTTTATGAAACACAATTTCATTCAGAAAGTATTATAGGAAAACATGTTTTTTATGACAATAGACAAAAAAAAAAAAGAAAAGGTCAGACTTAAACAAAATCGTGTTTATTAATCACACTTTCACTCAAATGATCATGCATTTACTTAGAAAATGTAATCAACAAAAATACTGACTTTGAAAACGTGATCAATAAACAAGCTTTTAAATATTTTTTCAGACCTTTGAAGAGTGAAATTAAGAAATGTTAATGGAAACTCGTCTCTCTCTTATTCTTCTTTTTACAATTTAAGAGGCTACAAAAAATTTTGTACATTTAGAAGAAGTTGATCAAACTAAAACTTAGTGATCCGATAAAATTAAAAGATTAATGCAAAAGAAAAATGAGTTTTCTAGCAAACATGTCAATGGTCTAAAATGATTTGTGACTAATGACCATGTTCATAAAAAACCAAGAGTTTTCCATGTACTTATCAACTACTGGGAGATACTTTTGAAGTCATCGTCACTTGAATCAGTGAAGTCCAAAAATTAAGAGTCAGAAATTAGGAAAGGGTCCTCTATTATTTCATTAATTGCTTTATTAGGATTCAGAAGCTCCTTCTTTGCTATTTCANAAAGAAAAGGTCAGACTTAAACAAAATCGTGTTTATTAATCACACTTTCACTCAAATGATCATGCATTTACTTAGAAAATGTAATCAACAAAAATACTTTGACTTTGAAAGCGTGATCAATAAACAAGTTTTTAAATATTTTTTCAGACCTTTGAAGAGTGAAATTAAGAAATGTTAATGGAAACTCATCTCTCTCTTATTCTTCTTTTTACAATTTAAGAGGCTACAAAAAATTTTGTACATTTAGAAGAAGTTGATCAAACTAAAACTTAGTGATCCGATAAAATTAAAAGATTAATGCAAAAGAAAAATGAGTTTTCTAGCAAACATGTCAATGGTCTAAAATGATTTGTGACTAATGACCATGTTCATAAAAAACCAAGAGTTTTCCATGTACTTATCAACTACTGGGAGATACTTTTGAAGTCATCGTCACTTGAATCAGTGAAGTCCAAAAATTAAGAGTCAGAAATTAGGAAAGGGTCCTCTATTATTTCATTAATTGCTTTATTAGGATTCAGAAGCTCCTTCTTTGCTATTTCAATTGAATGACAACAATTAAGTCGATGTTGCACCTGATTATTTTCATGTTCAAGTATTGCTAAAATCTTGTCATGGTTGCTTGAGTTCCATGTATAAAATATTTCAACTAAACATGCCTAGTATTTCGTGCCAACAATAGTATACTTCAGTTCACAATATTTAACCTAAAACTCCCACCACCTTGGTCCCTCTGGTTGGTAATAAAATTGAAAAGGCTGCTTGTTGGTTGCCGAACCATTGTAATATGTGTATGATCCATAAGAAGGTAGACTATTTGGCAATAACCTTTAATGATGGTTTGAACTTTGGCGGTGCTTGTGTGATGACGAAGCTGGACGTTGGTTGGTTGTAGACGAACTTCAACATTGGTTATTTGAGGGAGAACCTCTTGGCATTTTCAGTTGATATTTTACACAGTGATGATGCTTGATTTTTCACTCTTCTTGAATTTCTTAAAATATTATAATGTATTTCCGAAGCGTAGGAAGAATGTATAGCTTAGTAACTTGGACAATTCAAGGTCGTCTCCTCATAGAACAGNACTCTTCTTGAATTTCTTAAAATATTATAATGTATTTCCGAAGCGTAGGAAGAATGTGTAGCTTAGTAACTTGGACAATTCAAGGTCGTCTCCTCATAGAACATATAGAATTTGACTGGTGGAGTGCGTTCAAATAAAATTTAAAATCTTTTTATTTGTAGAAAACCAGAGAAATGAATTCTAATGCATTGTAATCAATAGGAAAACAGTCGGCTAATCATTAGGAATCCACTCACCATAACCAAGCATTCAAACTCTCAATGTTAACTCATCCGAGGTTGTACTCAAACGTGCTCGAACGAAAAATATTCAACAAACAAAGTTTATCTACTATTGTAGCTTTGAAGTAGGAAATAAAAACTAGAATGCTAAACATTTAGATTGTATAAATAATTTCTAAACATTACTCGTGTTGGATGAACCCGTTAATGAGAAATTAAGGTAGTCACTTAACAACTAATTTTCAAAGTTAGTTTTTTTCTCTACAAAATATTTGATTGGTTAGAAATCATTAGACAATCACTATACTTGATTATAGATGAGATTCATCGCTCAAATCATGCTGAAACTCAGCAGGAAGTAAAATCCATCAAACCAAAATCAACAATAAACAACACATAAAACATAGTGAAGAAAACAACAAGATAGCAAGAAATAACTTCAACTAGTTTTGCTTCAAAATACTAAGTTTAAATGCAAACACAAACCATACGAATCCCCCTTTTATCAGCCGGAGATGTTGAGTTTTGAGTATCCTCTTAGGGCTATTCCCTACGAATTTATCTCAACAATTATCAAGTTAACATAAGATTAATGATTGCATGAGCCCAAGAAATCATGTGTGTGCTCCCAAAATTAAAAAGTTGAGGCATTTGAATATTTAAACTTTGAAACAACCATTTGACAAACAAGTTCAATATTTTTTTTCCCAGTTTTCATTGATCAACAGCAAGTCAGCACCAGCAGAGCAAGAGTATGTCTCAAATAAAACTCCATGGGCCATGGAATGACTAGCAGGAGCCAACCCCAGACCCCTAGCAAATACTCAAACCCTGCAACTCCTCCGTAACGAGCCTGTGGTACAGGCGCACATGACCTCTGGGCAAATCAATCAGTGACAAAATGTGTCATTCGTTTATTGTATGAGCTTGAGCCCAAAAAACAGGAAGAATGGAAGATGTATATGCATGCCAGCGGATGGTTAACTCTACCAATGTATGCAATTTCATTTGCAAACTACCACCAGTATTTTCTGATAGATGGCAGAAAGGGGGAAAAAGTATAAAACAATTGTTACCGACCAAATGACAAACATTAAATTCAGGGTTGTTAAAGCCTTGCCCAACTAAAAGTAGCTAGTAATACAATTCCGAGACCATGGCCAAAGATAATCTCTATTTGTTACGCTTTGCAGCACGCTTTCCTTGGCCCTTCTTCGGTGGTCCCTTTCCACGACGCTTCAACATTTTAAGCTTGTTTAAGCGCCTGCCAAAGTACATACAATACAGAGCTAGGTTATCATTTTAGACCAGAATGCATCATTCACATGCATGCAGATAAATGAAGTTTTCTCTGGTAGACGTACGTAAGCAGTATCTTCACTTTACTATAGGTGATAGAAAACAAACTATGACTACAACAAAAAACTTGTTGCTCAAAATATTTCTACGCCATCAGATGAGTGAAAGATCAATTCATTCCCTTTGTCTACCTTTTTTAATCTCCAAAACAATCTCCAAAATCATTCCGCTCCCAAATTCTCACTTAAATGCAAGAGTAACGATGATTTGCTGGAAGTAAGTTAAGCTCTAGAGAGAAAGCGAGAGAGAGAGAGAGAGAGAGAGACGACAAAGATTATTGAATCATGGAGAGGGGCCTCCAACAAAGATAGAAGACAAGGCCACCAAAGTAGCAGAGAAAGAGAAAGAAAGACTGTTGTCTGTACAATTGAGGTAGGACCTCTGACCAAGAGGAAAGAAGCAAAACATCAGAGAGAGAATTAGACATTACTTGTTCTAGGACACTTGAGAACGGCGTGTGCAGAGCTCGCTGGTAGAAGACAACAAAATACTTTCGTCAGACTAACTGGTAAAGTAGCCATACTTTATGATATGAATTGGAATAGTTCCTACCATCAAGTTTCAATAAAAAAAAATAATATGATATGACTTCGAATAAACGCGAGTGAAAAGGGATACTCAAATTAAGAGTAGAATCTCGTATATATAATCAAATAATAGTGCAAAGTGATCTAAACATCCTTAAGATCTAGACAAAATATAAAAGCCATAGTAAGGGTAATTAAGGGTAAGAAAGGGAAAAAAATAAATTAGAAAAAACCCTAATAAATTAGACTATACTCCAACACTCCCCCTCAAGCTAGACGTAAAAATATGAACAAAGTCAAGCTTAACAACAGAGTCCCGGATAATAGAGAGAGTGACATGTTTAGTGAAAATATCTGCAACCTGATTACTGGTCCCTACAAATAATGGAGTGATAATACCACAGCTAACCTTCTCCCGAAGAAAAATGAACATCAATCTCTATATGCTTCGTCATTTTGTATAGTACAAAGTCAGATGCAAGCTGAATAACAGATCGATTATCACAATATAATGTAGATGAAGAAGTCACTGAAAAACCCAACTCGCCAACAAGCGATCATAGTCATATAATCTCACATGCACCAAGTGTTAGTGCCTGATACTCTACCTGTGCTGACGAGCAAGAAACAACTGACTGTTTCTTTCTCTTCCAAGATATAAGAGACGAGTCTCTCGAAAAGTATAAAAGCCCGTAGCAGATTGACCATCACACGATCCCCTATAATCTGAGTTTGAATAATAGGCTAGAGAATCAGTTTAAAATCCTGATGCATAGAATAACCCAAGTTCAGGACAAGATTTGAGGTATCGAAGAATATGATAAACTGCATCAAGATGAGACTGACACGACCTGTGCATGAACTGACTAACTCGGCTAACAGTGAATGAAATATCTGGTCTAGTGTTAGCTAGGTAAATAAGTCTACCTACCAACTCTTAATAGACAATCAGATCTCTCAACTCCTCACCTTTAGCACTAAGCTTCAAGTTTAGAATCATGGGTGATGATGTCGGTTTGCACCTCAACATCCCAGTGTTTGAGAGAAGATCCAGAACATATTTTCTCTAAGAAAGAACAATACAATTGCTGCTACGGGCAACCTCAATTTGAAGAAAATATCTTAAAAATCAAAGGTCCATCACATCGAAGGTCTTCCCAAGGTCTATCTTGACCTGTACAGTCCCAAAAATATCATCTCCCGTAATAATAATATCATTAACATATACCAAAAGGATGACACACTGTCCAGAAGTATTCTGTCAAATAAAGCAGGTATGATCAGAATAACATCTAGTGAACCCTAAATGAACAACTACACCACCAAAGCGATAGAACCAAACTCGCGGTGCGTGGTTTAGTCCATAAAGAGACTTACAAAATTGATATACCTTTCTAGCATACTCCCCATCACCACAAAAAATCTGGTGGTGCATCCATATAAATAATCTCATCCAGATCACCGTGAAGAAATGCATTCTTTACATCTAACTAATGAAGAGATCAAGAATACTCTATAGCTAGAAAAATAATCAACTGAACAGTAGTCAATTTTGCCACGGGGGCAAAGATAGCACCAAAATCATGACCTGGTACCTGAGTAAAGCCCTTCGCCATAAACTTAGCCTTGTGACAATCAATAGTACTATCCGCAAGAAACTTCAAAGTTTAAACCCATCGACAGCTGACAAGCTGCACCCCTAAAGGTAAAGAGATAAGATTTCATATATGATTACGCTGAAAAATGTCCATCTCCATGTACATGGCAAGAACCCATTGTGGCTCCCGCATAGCCTCTGAAATAGAGCAAGGAACCGGCATATCTGATAAGGCCAAACTATAAGCTCGAAATGTAAGAGACAGATCATCATAAGAAACATAAACAGAGATCAGATATAAAATTCTAGCAGTCCACATCGCGAATAACGATGCCCTAAATCATCATTCTCTACTAACATTGTATCATCAGGTAAAGTAACTGTCTCAGTACCTACAATTTCATTAGTACTAACAACAGGTGTATCAATATGCTTAATGAACTGAGAAGTATTACCTGCATCGCATGAGGTAGAGGGGACATCAGCAGGGGGATAAGAGCGAGGGGCGACGAATATAAACCTGCAAAGAGAGAGAGAGTGGTGATTCTGTACTGACAGGGATGAGTGGCTCTGGAGAAGGAGAGACTGATGGCTCTATAGTGATAGTGACCAATGACTTTGGCTCCTATGGTAACGAAAAATCAAAGGGAATATCATCAACTAGAGAGGCAGACACAGGATTGGAAGAAAAATAAGGAATATGCTCAAGAAATGTATAATCTAGACTATGATACATACAACGCCTAATAGGATCATAACACTGATACCCTTTTAGTTGATGACAATAGCCCACAAAGACATAAAAAATCGCTTTATCATCAAACTTATAGTGAGTAGGAGACCGATCCTAAACAAAATATGTGCATCCAAAAGCACGAGGGGGGATTGGAAAAAGTGTCAGCTTAAGGAATAAGACTTGTAAGGGAGCCTATGTTGAAGAACATGACTCGGTGTACGATTGAACAAAATGATAGAAGTCAAAACAGCAAAATGCCAATAAGATTTTGGTACCCCCATACCTCTAAGCATGCAACGTACCATCCTTGTCAAACTCCTATTTTTCCTTTGAGTAACTCCATTTTGTTGAGGAGTATGTGGACAAGTGATTTGCTAAAGGATAC